CCATCCCAATGGTGAAAATTTCTTTATGCGGGGCTCTTTTTTGCTTTTGCAAGTAGAATTGAAGTTCATCAATGTTCCTGCTACTAGTTTGAGTGTTAGAAAATGTAGAAAAAATATTAAAACTATCAAGGCCTTCATCATCATCCACAGTAGTAGAAGTGGTGCAATGCATAGTGGGATTAACATTGCCTACATTAAGAGCAGCATCATCAAATATATTTGTATAACAATTATATAATTGTTGTAAAGAATCTTTAGCTTGTTCATACAAACATATATATTTGGGGTTTTAGTTGGTCCAATCTCCATATAAGTATATAAAGCATTGATTAATTGGTGACAATCAGACATCTTAATAGAAAGATTTAAAGCAACACCAATTAAGTAAATCGAAGGAATTGGAAAGAAATATTTTTTGAATTTTGCTTGCATTTTTTTCAACAATATCCATATATTTTTCTTTCATCTTAAATTCAAAGAGTAGATAAGAAATTTCAGCTATATGTACTAAATTCATAGTAACAGTAGGGTAGTATGCTCCAGAAAACTCAACAGTAGCTTTAAAAAATTTATATAAAAATTTAACAACATCATTAATGGCCTCCCAAGTAGTAGTTGTTAACATACGGTTTGGATCAGTATAATGCGCATTAGCAACTTCAGTTATTGAGAATCTACATTTGTAGCAACATTTTAAAAATATATATATGTATAATTCCATCTAGTAACAATTTCGTCTGACATGAATCTGGGCTTAAGGTTATGCTCGGTACACTTATTCTTAAATTTTTTAATTCTGGATTGTCTATTATTTCCTTGAATAACACCAACTACTCTTCTAACATGAGTAATCTCAGTTGAAAATAAATCAAGGCCACTTTTAACAATTAAATTATAAACATGACATGCCCAACTAACATGAAAAATTTTGTCAAGTAGTGGTTGCAAATGCAGTTTTAATATTGAAATTGCGACTTTATTGTTATAAGCATTATCAAAAGAATTACAAAATACTTTTTTCTTAAGATTATAAAATTCAACAACTTCGCAAATAGTAGTACTTATAAACATAGCAGTATGACTCTGATCTTCATCATATTTAAAAGCAATAATACATTTTTGCATACAATAATTATCATCTATCCAATGATATGTAATTGTCAAATAATCATTTCCATTAACAACATGACCAATATCAGAAGTTAGAGAAACTCTACAAGGAAGGTACCTAAACAAATAACGTATGTATGTTTGATATTGTCCATGAAGTCTAAAGATATCAGATTTACAAGTACTTCTAGGGATACCTTTAAATAAAGGATTATAAATCCTTTGAATATACATAATAAGATATGATGAAGAAGCAAAAAAAAAGGTAGACAACCCAAAGCAATCATTTTTGCTAACTCCTCACGATCCTTTATTTTATCATATTTCATAAGTCCTCCAATCATAGGGTTTAGAGTTGCTTGATTTCCATTTCCATCAGAGCCCTATTCTATAGGATGCTCAATTCTCATATGTCTGCTAAGTGTCTCAATCCCCCTAATTGTCTTCCAGTCATATGTTTAAAATTTCCATTACAAAGTATGCATTTAACTCTATCAGTACCTACTATTTCGTCAAAAAAATTTCAAACCTTACTTCTTTTCTCCGATTAGTAGTCGGGGCCACAGGTGATCTACTACTAGCACCACGACCACCACCCCTACTACCAACTCCAACACTACTAGGTGTAAGTGGTGTCTCATCTTCAATTTCTAATTCATTATCTTCTATACCAAAATTTTCCTGTAATTGTTTATAATCTATATTATTATCAAGTAATGTTATAGAAATATGTTCAGAGTCATTTAAATTACTACCATATGCTGAAGTACTACCTCTTTTTCTATTTCCCCGATTAGTAACCTTATTACAAACTCTTTTTGCAGCATTAAATATATTGTGAAAATTTAACTACTAGCAAAAATTAAATATGCAAATAAAATAGTAAATAAGAGAAAGAGTTGGAGCGAATGCACCGAATTCAGCAATAAATTGAACACTTGATGATTTTGCAACTCCAATGTTACCACGAAGAAACGTCAATTGTTCAAACTCAAACTTCAAACTTCAAATAATAAATAATACGATAAATGAAATTCCAAAAAAATGAGAGCCAAATACTTAATTGCACTTTAGGTAAATAATGAGAGAATAATAATTGAGAATATGAGTTTATGAAATGAGAGATGAGTGAAGAAATGAAGAAGAGGGGGTGTATTTATAGTTTTTCAAAGGGCTAATTAGGTAATTACAAAAGGTGCTAATTTTAAAAAAATGGCCCGAAAATGGGCTATTTGTGCAAAATAGCCGTTAAACCGGTGGGTTGGTCCGGGCCAGACCAGGCCGGTTAACCAGTTCTACAGTGAATCACGTTGACTGAATTTGACCGATCCGGTTAACCGGTGGAACGAAGGTGATCAGACCAACCCCCCTTACCTAATTAACCCAGCCCACCCGGCCCCTTTTGTACGGGTCCGGGCCGGTTCGGGTTTCAACAGGTCTGGATCGATCCGGAAACGGGTTGACCCCGCCCGTAAGACACTCTTACAAAGCACTAAGGCGTGCACCTCGTTGCCCATAAGTCCTATCTTGAATAGAGCAGTATAAAACAATAAATATAATTGGCAAAAAGATATATTAATTGTTAAGGAAATCATTATAAATGAAATTCTTAATTTTTTCTTGCATTACATATATTTTTTTATTTTTTCTTCGCTGTGCCTTTTTTAACTAAAGTCTACACTTCAATTTTGCTTTGCGTTTAAAGCCCCAATAGACCTGGAGCGCTTTTTAACGCTTTTCGCCTTTGACTACGCTGAATTTCTAGGTGCCCTGTATTTATGGAAGCTCTCAGTTTTTATCCAGTTATCTTTCACCTAATGTCTTTCAAAGTGTTTTCTATAAGCCACTAAATATTATTCTACCTAATTACAATTAGAAATCAACACAGCTTCAGACCAACTCCTCACAAGAAATGAACATCTGAAGTTGCTACTAAGAATTGATCACATTAATACGATACGAACATCAGTAATTGTTCTAAAACAAGTAAGCATGGTTTGGGAAGTCTTCACTATAGGGGAATAGTACCTTGTACTGTTATGTTTTGCTAGAAATGCCAAGACATCTGTAGCACTTCGCAGAACAGCTAATGGATGGGGTGTAGGTCTCCGGAGGAACTGCAACTACTTGGGAATTGGAGACGATGTTTCTGTAACAATTGAAAAACTTTCCTTACCCTACAGATGCACCAGACTCTTTAGCATGACTGTTACATGGAATGGGATATTCAAGATTAAATCATGCTACAATGATCTGTCATCTAAATCAGCTTCTTCTCTTGTTTGGGAAGGAAATATGGAGAATCATGCTCCATAAAACACTATAGTGAAGTCATATTGACTCAACGTATGGTCTGCATGCATCTAGACGCTATATGACCTGTCATCTAAATGTTATTAGGTCTGCATGCATCCGCTGGGGGTAACTTATGAAGCCGTACTGACCAAACAAAATCTACAAAGAAGGGTTTTGATCTTATGAGGTAGGTGTTAGTAGTGCGAAAATGAGATAGAGGAGGCTAATCATTTATTTTTGCGAGCACTAGTGATTTCTTTTTTTTTTCCTGATGAAGTAAGATGTTGCATTAAAGATATCAAGAAGATACAAAGAGTACAAGAAAGAAGTTCAGTTTGCTCCTAAATACAAAAATCTAGATTAGAGCTTTGAGGAAAACCAAAACCAAAAGGAAAAAACTGGATTTTAAGCATAGTGAGAGAGCTAATAAAATATAACATGGAAATTAAATCATTTACAGGGGCTAGATTACTCCAACTGAATAGATTTAGACTTTAGGGTGCAGTTGGGAGTTGAAATGCCATCAAAACATCTGTTATTTCTCTTTGTCCATATACACCAAAAAATGCATGTTGGGATCATTTGCCAGATCTTCTTGATGGCCCTGTCAACTTTCCAAGAGTTCCAACTTTCCACTGCTACCTTTATGTTCTGTGGAGTTGCCCAACTAATTCCAAAAACAAAACTGATAGGAACACATGCCATATATTTGCTGCCACTAGGCAGTGTAAGAAAAGATGATTTACTGATTCTCAGCTTTGTTGACACATGTAGCATCTAGTCACCATCTGAAAGCTCCTTCTGTATAGATTATCTTGGGTCAAAATAGCATCTTTAATTGTTTTCCAAGCAAAATACATTACTTTTGTAGGGAGTTTTGATTTCTATATCAGGTTCCACAGCCAATGCTCAATCACTTCATTAGCTAAACATAGTTTGTTATATCATGCCTTCACTGAATATATGTCTTTGCTAGAGTTGCCCCACTTGTCGCTATCTGGTACTTGTGGATCTATTGTGAAGCCTTCCAGTATACTATACATGTCGAAGAGTTCACCAAGTTCCTGGTCCTGTATGTTCCTTCTGAAGTGGATGTCTCATATGTTTCCTGATCTGTTCTATGCTATTGTGGAGCCTGGTTCACTAACTATTTGGTAAAGGCTAGAGTGAGATGTTTCGAGGGGTGCATTATGAAGCCATTTGTCCTTCCAAAATTTTATAGTATTGCCATTCCCAATCTTGAAGGACGCCTCTTGAAAGAATTCATTTTTTAGGTTGTTGATATGCTTCCAGGGACCGGCTCTATATGGTGCTCTACTCTGCTTGGTTCTCTAGTGATCTTGTTTACCATATTTAGTATTAACTACCTCCTTCCATAAGCATGTCATTCTCTGACCATACCTCCACCACCACTTCATGAGCAGACTTTTGTTGTGTTTATCTAAATCTCTTATGCCCAAACCACTTTGCTTCTTTGGCATGATTACTTTCCATTTCACTAGATGAAATTCGTGCCCTTCACAGTTGCCTTCCCACAAGAATGATCTCCTTATCTTATCTAGTTGTTTTTGTATCTTAATTGGCATAGGGAAGAGTTACATAATGTATGTTGGGAGACTATCCAAAACACTATTAACTAGTGTCAGTCTTCCACTCATAGACAAATTTTGCATTTGCCATGTAGCCAGCCTTTTCTCCACCTTCTCAATAACTCCACTCCAAACTTCAGCAACTTTGTACCTAGCTCCCAGCGGAAGACCTAAGTAAGTTGTTGGAAAGGATCCGACGTCACAGCCCATGATATCAGCCAATTCTTCCAAATTTTCTACCAAATTAACAAGGTAGATCTTACTCTTCAGCATATTTATGTGCAGCCCTGAGATAGCCTGAAAAAGGAGAAGTGTCAGGTTTAGATATTGCACCTGCATTTTGTTTGCCCCACAGAAAATTAATGTGTCATCAGCATAAAGCAAGTGTGACACTATGACTAAGTTAGCTACACTGCTGCCCACCGTAAATCCTTCAATCCACTGTATTTGTTTGGCTTTGTCCAACATTTTACTCAATCCTTCCATAGCTAAGATGAAAAGAAAGGGAGAGAGTGGATCTCTGTTACATCTCCGGTTTTCGTACGTTAAACTTTCGTTTTGAGTTAACCGACGTAGACTCGGTGATGAAATCATCTTGACGTTAACGTACCCCACGTTATTTATAACAAGCGATAAATAAGTTTTATGAAGGGTAAAGGAGTACACGGATTAAAAAAATGAGTTTCGTTGAAAGTGGCCAATTTGAAATAAAATACGGGTCGAGAGATAATACCCGATAATTATGAACTAGTATCATGCAAGGTACCATATGACCACGGTAGTATAATATATAAAGTATTTTAAAAATAAATAAAATTTTAAGTAATTTATGATAATTTTTAAATCATACGGATAATTAATTAATTACCGGGTAACAGAATATTACCGAGTTAACTAATAAGTGGATAAAAAATTAATATCCCACCCCCAACCCACGTGGCAAGAAGCCACAATATTGGAAATGACTAAGCCATCACCGTTGCTGAGGTATACATTTAAGTCTTATCTTAGCAAAATAAGACTTAGAAAACAAATTTAATATAAGGAACACACATTCTGTCTTTGGTAAAATCATAGACATTAAGCAGCAGAACCTTATCCCTTCAAAGCCAAAAAAACGTGAATCGTTCCAAAACAATTCAAGGAGACACAGAAAATTTCATTAGTGAATTTCTAAAGAAGCAAGGGCAAATTTCGCTCAATCAACGAAGGTTTTCCAACGGAGTATTATACTGAGTTTTCCCTACTCCAAGTATGTTAGGGCCCTCCCTTCTTTCTTTTGGCATGGTCCAAATTATACTGAAGAAATGAGCAAACACACAGTTTCTATAAATTACTCTATTCATAGAAGTAGTAAGGGTGTCTATATTCTTGATTCCCCATAAGAATTATTATTATCTTCTGTTCATGGGTCTCAAAATAATACGCAGTTGGAAAAGTTTATCCGGAAGGAATATCAAGATTATTATGTATTTTTCATGCATTGCACTCATTTATACATGTGCATTGACCCATGACCAGATGGAGTTATATATGCGTATATATATAAATATATGTACATGGGATATGGAAAAAGGTTACGGCATTATATACGCACCACCACCTGATCAGCTGGTATATGATGGTGATGTTTCCCATAGTGGCTAAAATATGATTCAAATGGCATTATATACGCGTTTATATATGTATGTATATGTATATGGGATATGGAAAGAGGTTATGGCGTTATATACGCACCACCACCTGATCAACTAGTATATGTTGATGATGTTCCCCACAGTGGCCGAGACGATATGATGGGATGCCCTCAGTGGCTTAATGATATTATCTACACCTATACCTATGTATGGCATGACATTTATACACATGTGCATGATATTATAAACGTTTCAAAATTTACAGAGTTTTTCAGATTTAAAGGTATTTCTGTATTCCATGTTTCATCTATGTCTTTTACATACTTATTTTCATGCCTTACATACTCAGTACATTTTTCGTACTGACGCCCTATTTTACGGGGACTGCGTTTCATGCCTGCAGGTGCAGGTAGGCAAGCTGACGGTCTCCCTTCTTAGGATTCTTGATCAGTGAGAATTGGCATGCTCCACTTGATCCGGAGCTGCTTTTCGTTTTGGTACGATACGTATATATATATATATATATATATATATG